GGGTCTGCTGGTAAATCATTAGTCTAAAGATGCAATTTGCCTGACAAGTCCACTCTTGCCTCCGACAATCTATTCTGCACCAGGCAGCCACAGGGCTCTCTCAAAACTCTAAATCAGATCATGTCACTGCCTTGTTTTAAGTCTCTCCATCACTCCTTGAGGAATACAATTCCAACCCAACAAGCCCTATGGACAGAGCGCCTGTCTCCTCCGGGGTCTTCTTCTTAGACTTCATCCTGCCCTGCTTACTCTGCTCTGCTCGAACCAACTTGGGCCTTCGGCTTTTCCTCTAAAACCCGACATATTTCCTGGGTCCCGGCTTTTCCTTCTGCCTTGAATGTGCGCAGGTTCTTTGCACACGGCGTCCTTTCAGTACTCGAGTTCAGTCCTCAGCGAGTCTTCTCAGATGGTTCTCTCTGCAGTACCTCTATCAGACCTTAACTCACACACCTCTCCTGATTTCCTTTAGGTGTGGTGAAGGAAATATTAGGGGGTGTGTGGCTAATGGTCTGTGCTCCCTGCTTCCTTAAAATGTAAGCTCCTTGAGGCCATGGATTAAGACTGCCTTTTTTTCTCATTACTGAACCCCCAGCATGTAGAAGACTGAGTGCCTATTAATTTAATGACTAGCTCAAGCCAAGACAGTCATTTTAGTTAGAAAATGTAATGGATCTTACTATTTATTAAGAACACGTTTTTCTTCAATCTTCCTCTTCATCCCCCCTCTTCATTTGTTAGGATTCTTTGAGTGTCAATGACTAGGTAGATGACTTGTCAAAAAACCTAGCCTTGAAATTTGGGGCCATCTTTCCCCAAATGAGAAGATTTTTACTTTGGTTTAGAGTTCAATGATGTTCTTCTACTTTAAATTTTAAAATTAAAATAGCCTAGCCCAGCTAATCTGCTTCCCCCACCCGCCCTCATTTTCTTACATCCATTCAACTCAGAACTTCAGGACATAGAAGGATTCCATAGTAACAGAACTAGGGCTCAGGGAGCCAAGAATACATGAGCAAGTCAGGAGTTAGGAGAAACAAAGCAAGTCCAAGGTAAACCTGGACACCAGATTGGCTCAAACCAGCCATCTAAACCCAAAGGGATGCAGGCTCAGAGACAGGGAGAGTGTGCTGTGTCAAAAGTAAGGGGAGAGTGTCAAGCTTAGGCAGGGCAGGGAGATTCACCCAAGGGGACAGAAAGAATCCTTAGTGATTTTTCTTGTTCCTCCAAACCATTGAGAGACTTCTGAGGTCAGAATAGGGGAAGGTGCAGGATGGGCTCAAGTTTCTGACGTCACTACATGCCATATTTGCTTCTGGCCAAGGATGCAATAGTGCTCTTCAATCCAATCCAAAAAGGTGATTTCCACTCTTCACCTCCCTGGGCCTCGGCCTACATTTGACCTTGTTGACTGCCCCCTCCTTCTAGAAATGCTCTGCTCACCTGGCTTTCAGGACTTCGCGTTCTCTAGTTCTCTGAAGACAACTCAAAGGGATTTATCTCCGTCTTTCATGGAATTCTTTCTTTCACTTCTCAACGGGGGTTCTTCACTTCCTGCTCAGTGCCCCCCCCGTTTTGGTCGCAGGGTCCCCACAGAGATCACTAACACTCTTGGCTTCAGCTGGCACTCAGATTCGGATGCGTTCCACATACTTCTCTGTGGCCACCCTATTCTTTGACGCCTGAGTGTCAGAAGGGCATGCGCCAGTCTTGATCTGTCTCCCTGGAAATGGCAAGGCACCTTAAATCCAACACGTCACAAACTCCAGCCTTCCTGCTCCCAATCTCCTTCCAGAATTGGTTCTTTTAGTTGGCAACTCTGCCCTTCACCCTGCCACCCAAGCGAGAGAAGTCTAAATCAAGTGTGATGGTTCCTTTCGCTTACCCACCACATCATCGTTTCATTAACTCATGTAAGCGAGCTCAAATCAAGCCCTATTATTTACCAGGTGCTATCCTAATTTCGGGAGCCTGTGGGTGGTGCAAATGATTCATGTGCTTGGCTGGTAACTCCAAAGTGGAAGGGTTGAGTCCACCCTGGGGAATCTCCGAAGAAAGGTCTGGAAACTGACTTCTGAAAAATCAGTCCTTGAGCACTCTGTGCTACTGCTCCCGTCTGTCACACCCGGGCTCGCCACAGTCAGAACCTTCTCCAGGCAGCTGGTTTGGTTTGGGTTGAACTGTAAGCTAAACCACGGTAGGTGCAAGAGCATTCGTTCCCGCCTTTGCCAAGCATGTGAGTGACTGGCTCTCTCTACCTCTGAAGTAGCACCCTCCTCTGGCCCTCTTTCTCCTTCATCATGAGCAGTAGTTGACATGTGATAGATGCTCCCTGAACCTTTATTGAGTGAATGAATACATGAGAATGTAACTACTAGAATATCTACTGTCTAGATGGCACGGAAGATGACATGGCACCAACATGTCATTAAAAATATTTCTGAGCACACATTATGAATCAACAGAAGCCAACGCATCTGGCCAATGTAATGGGAAATCCCCTGTGAGGCATTGGCATGTTGCATCTGTGTTCTACAAACACTCAGATGGTCTAGACTCCCGGTGGAATGGTCTGGGAATTTGGGTGCAGCACATGCTTAACTAGACCAGTCTCGATCTTCCAGGGGTGCATTGCATCTCTGGATTGGCACACAGGGTTCACTGGCCTCTAGAGTTAAGCAAAGGTACAAACTCTGACCACTGGTGTCCATCTACATGGTTATTTACAAATTCTGCACACACGCTCACTGGCTCTTAAGTCTGATGACATCAGAACGAGTTGAGATTATTCATGCTGATGATGGCACAGATGGATTGTATCCAGGTAAAACTCAATCATCATAAGAAATGTAGAGTCTGGTTGAACATCAACGGTAATCATCTTTGAGTGATAATGACATCTTTGTATAACAGCTGCTCGATGACATCAGCAAATAGATTTTGGGAATCAGCAAAAAAAAAAAAGGTAAAGTATTCCCATCCAATATTACCAGATCAATCAACCATGGAATAAAATCAAGCATCTCCACATCTCTCTTCTTGGCTTTCATTTATTTGTAGCAATGTTAGGTACAACTGAGATTTAAACAATAAGGAATTCTCTCAATTTCTACAATTCATGTCAATGCAGAGTTTTCCAAAAGACAGAAAATCAAATAAAGGTTACCAAGAAAGAGAGAACTTTACACAGCTATTCAGAGGCAGGTAGGCAGCATCTCCTCCTCTCAAATAACCTCATCCATGCTCAAGCTAAGGGCAGGCATAGGAAGCAGAGAGCATCACCAGCAGGCCATGCATCCACCCCAGGAATGAGAGAAGACTGCTATTTGACATACTAGCAAATTGGGTCAAGCACTCCAGCCAATTCAGGTTGGAAGGCATTGAGGTTGAGGGTGGTTGTGTACTCAAAATAATTTGAGAGCCCGCCAACACTCACAAAAGAGTCCTGAGGATCCAAGGGTACAGTTCTGCAAGACATACAAAGCTAACTCCATCTGCTATCCCCACCACCACCCCTGCGGAATCTGGTCCATGGATTATTCCAATCCATTCCATTAATCCACTTCTCACAGAATTGGAAGGAAGCTGAAATCAATCTGGCCTCGGAGGGCCCCATCCGTCTTTCACACACGAAAGAAAGGAGGAAGGCTTTCAGCATCTTAACCTTTTCCCTTGAAAATGTCTTTAAGCAGACCAATTTTTCTGTTTAGGTCCAGGCATTAGAGAACTTATCTCCTCTGGGTCTCCATCAAGCTTGGAGACACTGTTTATGCTGGGTCCCCCGAGCTTCTGCTCGACTGGGAGGACTTCAGAAGCTGCTGGTTAAAGAGCCCTCTTTCTGTGGTTTCTTTTGATGTGTAGAGTGGAGTCACACCACTTAGCTTCTACCAAGTCAACTCCACAAGGGGGCTTCAGTAAAGTCCTCCGGAGCAATAGGATTGAAACAATGGAGCTAGGACTTTCAGAAGCCCCATCGTCTAGGTTTGTCTGAGGTGATTAAAAGGAAGTGCAAGTTGGAGCGGGTGACTTTCCCCCCCTGCCGCTCCTTGGGTGCTCTGTTCATTCAGGTGAAAGCACATGCCAGAGAGGATGGGGTCTGTCACCATGGGGATGCCCTCCCTTGGTGAACCCCAGTTCTCATGTGCCCCTCAGAGTCTGAGCACCTCTTTGGGTTTTAGTGTGATACCAGAATTGGAAAAAAAAATTAAAAACAATTTTGAGTGTTGGTGACTCACTTCCCACGTGCTGACTTGGTAACTCTGGCCCTCACCTAAAATGCAAATCCTCTCCTTTGCGACCAGCATGGGGTGACTAGCCTTGACATTGTGTGTTACTCCTGACTCCTTTGCCACCCTCACCCCAGCCCCAGATGCTGCTGCGTGGCTTTGTTATTCCCAGATCCACAGAGGCCTCTGGGAGTTCCTCTGGACCGAGACCCACCCGGGGGATTCGCCAGGGCTCAGCCATCTCCTCGATGCTTTCCAACAGGCGTGGTTTGTGTTTATTTTTGTAACATCGCATTTCTGCTTTAATAACATTCATTCTTAGCAACCCACTGGTGCTGTGTCCATTTCAACGCACAGCGATCCCTATAGGACACCGTAGAGCTGTCCCAGAGGGTTTCCGAGACTCGGAAAACGTTCTGGGACCAGCCTGCTACATCTTTTGCTTTGGAGCCGCTGGTGGGTTTGAACCGCTGACCTTATTGGTTAGCACTTAACCACTGTGCCACCAGGTGTGCTTCCAGGTTTCTTTCTAAAGGTTAGAACAATTACCAATAATAATTCATATTAAAACTAAAAGGGAGGGGTTGCTGGGAGCCTTCTGGCATGTTTGGAACCTGCATGCATAGGTTAATTCTCTCCCGAGGAGATATGTTTGATCATTTGCAATTAGGCGCTCAACCGAGAAAAGGTTCCAGATGAATTGGTTTTCTGCAGGCATCGGAGTTGAGCATGGACTCAAAGGAGCATGCGAAGCAGAAGAAGGAAGCGAGGACTTACGTTCTGTTTCCCCACTATGTTATCAAAGGGCAGCTCGGGGCTCCAGGACCCTTCTGTGAAGGTCGCCCCACTGTTTCTCCTCTCGGAGGGGCTCACCGACTCCTTGGCAATGTCTTCGGGCAAGGACAGCAGGCTCTCCTCGGGCTGCTTAATTAGATAGGTCTCTATGTTATGCTTCCTCAGGAATTCATTCCTCTCTTTCCCATGGCCCTCTTCCACATTGTAGTCACCACTGAGGCAGTCCAGCGTGGCCTTGGAAATGTGAATCCTCCTGTGTGCACAGAGCAGAAGAAGTCAGTAGCCCTGACTGAGAGGGCCTGCAAGACAATCACTGCGGGTTTATCTGGAGTAAGACCAACATGGGGGGGGGGGGTTTGAGGGCATGCCCTCAAGGACAGTGCTTGCCCCCTTGCAAAAGAAGAGATAACGGAAGAAAGCCGAAGTACCAGCCTAAGTCAGTGAGCACAGGGCAACTGATGTCGTTCCAGTGTTCATCGCTGCCTGGAATAAACTGCAGCCAGCTGAGCCGTAGCTAAGCAGCTCTTGTGGACGTCTTATGCCTATCAGACCTGTCTTTTCTGAATCAATGATTTTTTTTCCAATTATGTTGTTTATACTGAAAAAGTAGATCCCCCCAATATTTTTGGACCCCAATAATACTTTGTTTCCAAATCATTACTCAACGATTGTGCATAGAGGCAGGACAGTCTTTTGTCCTGCTGCACAGAGGGTAACTTTGAGTCCAATTTGATGGCACCTAATGTCACCAAGACAACACCAACACCAACAACAAGCAACAATAGTTCTAGGACCTTCTATTTGCATCTTTTCCTTTTGTTTTACTTTTCATGTCTTGGTGCCTGGCTTCTTCAATGTAGCTATACCTTCTTAAAAGCATAGAGGTATCTTTTATATCCATAGGATTACATTGGCAGGGGGGTGGAGAGGCCTTTGGGCAAACTATTACAGGAGACAATTTCCCCTGTAGCATGTATATGGCAAGAAGCAGAGAGCAAAGCTGTGGATGAAGGCAGGTTGGTGGCCGGCGAGGCTCACTCACAAGACAGGTGACTTAATGCTCGTCCTTACCAGCCTCCAAAGTACACCTGCAGGCTCTCCTCTAACAAATTAGGAGATGACCTCAAGAGCCTGAAGGGTCAAAGTTGAACTGCACAAAATGGCAAATAGTAAATTCTTCCAAGGAAGACGTGCTCGGTCTTCAGCCTTGTCTAACTGGATCAGAATACCCACAGGGCATTTTTATCTCTCGGGCGGACTAGCATGGTGGCTGAAAGAACCAGTCACCTGGGTTCAAATCCCAGCTGTATCTCTTGCTATCAAGTTACCTTTCAAAGAGTCAGTTTTCTCACGCAGAAAATGGGGTAATCATAGTACTCGTTTCTCCGTGAAGATGAACTAATGAAAGGGTGGTGGTTGCTGTTAGGGACTGTGGCGTCAGTTCCATCTCACAGCACCCTGCGTGCAGCACAAGAAACACCACCTGGTCCTGCACCATCCTCACCATTGCTCTTGTGCTTCAGCCGCTGCGCAGCCACTGGGCCAGTGCATCTTGTACTGTTCTGAGCATTTTACACGACTTGCCTAAACAGGCCTAAGTCATGTAAAATACTCAACACAGTACCTAGCACACCACCCACCCTAGAAAAGCAAATGCTCACGTAAAGCAAAGTCTCAAAGATGTTCTGTGCTCATAGTGGATACAACCTAACTCCAAATATGGCTTCCAAGACCTCCACGATGTGGCCTCTACTGCATTGAAGCTCATCTTCTGACACCCCACGGTCATGAATGATGCTCTTTCCAGCTGTTCAAGGACTTGACCTTTCTCTAAAGCCAATGTGCTGTTGTATGACTACTAGTCTTGGCACCGTGAGCTCACCATTGCAGTGATTATGGCGCTGGCACGAACTGAACTAGGGTTTGTTCGGTGGTGCGCAGGGTCGCTCGCAGAATCTCCTTGACAACAGCCACCACTCTTGCACAAACCACTCCCTCTGCCTAGAATGCTCTCTCTGAGTTGTCTATATCACCATTTCCTACTCTGAGATCTCACTCAAACGCCCTTTCCTTAGGCTGACGTGGATGCTCCTGGGGATGAAGGAAGCCAGAAATGATACAGTCAAGAAAACATGGGGCATTTCCAGTTTCTCTTTCGAGGGGCATTTCCAAATGCTTGGTCGTTTTTAGCTGCCTCCTCTGCCTCCTCTTCTCGGCCTTCTACCCCTGTGTACAGGAGAGATCACTCACGGCCAAGGGCATGTAAATACCCCCGCCCCCAGCAATGCTTTGGTTTATTTTACGGTCAATTTATACAAATGGATTTAAGGGAGAACAACTTAGCTTACACCTGGGAGATTCTCCCTGTTTTCTAGTGATGGATCGTCGTGTGTAGCCATGGATTTCAAGGATGAGGATTTAAAAATAAAAGGTAGCACCTTGAGAAATGAGAAGAAGAGCAAAGCCCTCCCAGACTGGGTTTTGTGAGTCTGTACCGAGTCACAGGACGGGGCGGGTCACTGTGAGCTGCAGCCACCTCGATGCCACTGGACACCAACCACAGATAGGGTCAGCCCCGTGGATCAGGAAGATTCACCTAAATTGCCGGACCTTCCAGGAAGTAGCTACTGCAGCCTTCCTTCTCAGCTTCAGCTCAAGAAGGCTGCCCCGGAGGCTGCCTGGGTCTCCCAGGCCAAAGAATCCTCTTGGAAGGGTTTCATAAAGTCCAATGGCTGCCTTTTCAATAACATAATTAAGTTAAATACCAACCCGGTTTGGCATTTTCTCTGGGTTCTACATTTTATTATTCTGCTGTCAGTGCCGGGGGACTAATATTTGCATGCGCTAAATCAATGTTCCGTGTTCTGCAGTGGAAGCATGCTCACTCTCACTTATTACTGATTCCCTGGCTAAAGTATGATCAATACACACTTAAGTGTTCTGAGAAAGCCGGGTCTTAGGCGTTCCTTTTCATCCTTGTTACTAAGTTGCACTTTGCAGCGAGGTGCCTGCAGATGAGATTTCTGGCGATTACATTTCCCTCTAAGGAAACGAATCAACTCTCAGACCATATTGTCATATATTGAGCGCCAGGTAAATGTAACATTTACTCATCATTTCAAATGCCAGTATATAATAAGGATCATGAGAGCAAACACAATATAACAACCATGCACGTGGACCCTTTGGATGATGCCGGTGATTAACACGCTTGATAGCCTGGTGGTCTGAGTCCACCCAGAGGCTCTTTGGAATAAAGGCCTGGAAGTCTAGTCTACACGCCCCCCCACTCCCACAAATCAGCCACTTAACATCCCATGGAGCTCACCAGTTATACTTTGACAAACATACAGTCACTAGGAGTCAGGATCAACTCTATGCATCTTATTACCATTCAGTAAAGGGGCGTTGGTGGGGTAATGGTTACGAGCTGGGCTGCTAACCACAAGGTCATCAGTTCGAAACCACCAGCCTCCCTGAGGAAGAAAGGTGAGGCGTCCTACTCCCATAAAGAGTTAGCGATCCAA